ACAACAAAAAACCCTGTGAAAATCTTTACATAGAACGGACAAAAAAAATCCCCAGATCATAAACAAATTCGACAAATCGCATAATATTCAAAGCAGCATATAAGATAGTTTCCAGGTAAAACAGCCTGACGCTTGAACAAAAAAAACGACACGGAGAACTTGCGCTGGCAAGTCGCTTGATGCCAAGCACCGTTGCATCATACGTGGTGACCTCTGAACTCGTTTATCAGTCTCTACTTGTACAGTCCACACTAAAGGTTCCCCCCCTGATGCCTGAACAGCCTTTTTGGGACAAGTTGCCGTGAGCAAGCAGCAACTATGAAGGCCGGCACTGTAGCACACGAGAGGGGGTGGCCAGCGCCACTCCCGGCCGCCTTTGTCTCCCTTGTGCCGATGATTAAACACCGCATCGGGTACTTATTCGAGGCCTAGTCGACCTAGGGGAGGCCCACGACCGATTAAAATAATCGTCACTGGTCTTGGCCGTGAGCCGGAATCGAACTCGGGTGGCCGGGTTCGTAGCGCCATGCGCAAGTTGCTACACTACCGGTACACACACCGCTACCACACGAGTCCAATTGTCAAATCAACGTGAGGATGACTCAAAACAACAAAAACTTACACCAAAAAGTTTATTTCGTTATAACCAACAAAATTATTCGGTGTATCTACTCATCATCAGCATGTCTTGAGACAATGTCGCTTCATGTGCGGCTAAACGGCACCGTGGGTGGAGTGGTGGCGCGGTGGTTAGCGCACTGCCCTATGAACCCAACTACCTGAGTTTTATACCCAAGCCTTGCCTACCATCAGTGTCGAGTGATATCTTAACCATGCCTGTGTACCCACCACCACCCCCTCCCCCAACCCCACACTGACCAGTGTGGTGAAGTATGGTCGAACAATCTCCACGACCAACACAGCGTAGGGAGGCCTTGATCTAGCAGCATGCTGTATGAACAAAGGGCTATAAATTGTTAGATAAATGCTAATTAGTTATTGCCGATAATTTACTCACAATAGCCTTAACCCAGTCTCAAGAATGTGTTTCAAGAGGTCCTGATACATTAAGATGCCTGGCCAGTTCCATGAATGTAAAAGTACCTGTGATGTATCATTCTTTCAACTTCAGATCTTCATATCCATCTCCAGTTTGCAAAAAGATTTGACCACTGCTAGCGTCCCAGTAAACATGTTCAACATTGGGCCAACGTCGGAACATGGTTGGAACCATTGGACTAAGGTTAGCCCAGCGTTCGATTCCCGCTAACGGCCACCAACACCAGTGACCAGTCTTGGGCCTCCCCTAGGTCGACTGATCCTCAAATGAGTACCTGGTGCAGTGTGTAAACATTGTGGTGTTGGCCAACCACCCCCTCGTGTGCCATGCCGGCCTTCATAGCTGCTCGCTAACAGCACTTGCCCCAACAGTATGTTAAGGATAATGTTAAGGCTATACGGGGGATCTTTGCCCCTTTTATATTTTGATGACCTTTGACCTTTGATGACCTTTCTCTGACCTTTCTCTGAAAGGTCATCAAAGTCTCACCGAGTCTCATGACTCCTCAAGTTTCAGGAGACTCCTGCTTTTGTGAAGTTTGGACAAATTCTCTGAAAGGTCATCATCATCATCAGCACGAGCCGTGGGCAGACAGCCCCATAGGGTGTCCACTGCACATGTCGTCATATTGTTTCCACTTCCACCCTCCGTCTTGTCGTGCCAATACGCTCCAGTGGTGGCCCCACATCTTTCTGCCACCAAATCTCGTATGATGTCGTCACCAAGACATTCTCTGTTCGAGTCTTCTTCCTCTCTGAAAGGTGTCTATCAGTATTTCGGGACACTTATTGTATTTATTTATATCCACTCGCAGTTGAACAAAAAGCGAGTTTCTGTATTTACCACTGCAATGGATATACATAGCCGCACTGACGCACACACATCTGGGCCATCATAGTTGGTCTGAAAAGGTGTAATTGGTCAGGACAGATACAACACATCCCGTGCCAAACTCACAATACTATGGTGCTTCAAACGCAAAACAATGGCTTCTGCAGCATCATCATCACCATCACCGCATGGAAGCAGCAGCAGCAACAGAAGTGGCAGTAGCAGCAGGAAGATGACAATCACAAAGGTAGTGCAGGCGTCACGGCAAAAGCCAAATAGGTGTCTGGCAAATCACGCTCAGGACGATTGTGTGCAACCCCGGGACACAGAATACAATAATACATAAATATAAATACCGGATGTCTAAAAGAAGAAAAGGCCGAAAATGATAACCAGCAAAAGCATTCAGGCCAACACAACCTCGGTAGGTCGACATTTTCCGTTGGAAACGGTCTTAATTGTTTTGCTCAACACAGAACTGGCCCGTTGTTATTGTTATCGTGTTAGTACCAATCGATAGGTCATGCGATCCCACAATTTACAATTTTCAGTGTGTGTGTGTACGGTTGGTTGACCTATAACACGCGCGCCTGTCTCCATGACCTCCTGCCAGAGAGCCTTTGACACTCCACGTGACCCAATATGCACCCAGCCCGATATGTATTCATATTCCTCGCCGTTCTCAATGCACTGCCGCCTTTGTCTCCCCCCCCCCCCCCCCCCCAATATTACACGAGTATTACAGCGGTGCAATTCTAAGCCACTGCCATGAATACAGTAGCCAGTGTAATGGCTGAGTCGACCTAGGCGTGGGCCAAGGCAAGTAACACTCTCCAGTCGAGAGCTATTGATTTTATTTAATCAATAGCCAGCAAGCTATCACGCTCTCCGCAGTACTGTATACACGATATTTACTGTGCAATGTATACGGCACAAAGTAGGACACACGCAGAGCACACGCAGTGCTCACAATTGTGGCATGGTACATAACACACACACATTTCAGTACACACCACATTATCACATACAACACACATTGGACACAATGTTCATTTAATTAAGTGTGTATGCATGTGCATTTTCTTTCGCGCCGTACGTATCCAATCGTGCTAACGTATTATATCTAGCACTGTGTATTGTGTGTGTGGGGCACATAATAGTACTGATGTATCTTCTTGTATGTATACAATATACTGTACTGAAACACACACACAGGGCCACCGCATGACATGTGCAAGTTGATATTATATGGAAACAAAAATGCTAAAAGGCGGGGTTTCCTTTTTTTCCTCTATCATAAACATTCCTTATTGTGAGTGTTCATGTGGCAGGGGTGAGCGCACGTCAGAGCAAGAACCATCCTGGACAACGGGCTGGTCCAGATGTCTTGTGACCCCCCCCCCCCCCAAAAAAAAAAAAACCCATGTTTTTACCGTGAACATGTTATTTCTCCTTTGCCATATTCATTCCTGTTTTAAATAAACCTTACTTTTAAAAAATAAAATTGACAATTGAATGGGTTGATCTCACTCAAGTCATCCGGGGCGACCCTGGACCGTAACGTTGCATGGCAAATACAAAGGTCACCAACATCGCCCGTATAGCCTTCACACTGCTGGCGGGCAAAGTGTTGTTAGCGAGCACCTATTAAGGGCGGCCAGGTAACGGTGCGCACGACGAAGGGGCCCCGTGGATAGAACCACGCCCGACCGCCTTTGTCTCCCCAGTGGCGACGTTTACCACACAGCAGGTATTCGTTTGAGGCTGAGTCGACCTAGGGGAGGCCCAGGACCCGGTTCAGATAATCGTCACTGCAGGTTGTGGCCGTGAGCGGGAATCGAACTCGGGTTCGCTGGTTTCGGAGAGCCCGGGGGGGTTAGCGCTAACCACTGCGCCACCGCTCCCCACTGATAGCACACACACAGCACGCACACAGCACGCACATACAGCACAACACACACAGCACACACAGACAGCACACGCACAGAGCCGAACGTCTGGCACATCACGATTCGTATAAATAGCGCAGCAGCAAGAGCAAAACATTCAATGACGGAACGGAAAAAAACAAAACCCGGACGTTTTTAATCCACAAACCCCACACCCCACCCACCAATTCGCATCTGCCGTGCTGCAACCTACGTAGTGTAGTAACAGTAGGGGGCAACAGCAAACATCATCATCAGCAGCAGCAGCGTTGTTGCAGCAACATTGGTTGAGTTCAACTATCCAAGAAGCAGTGTCTGCTCGACTTGGCCACACGTGGCCCTCTGCTGCAGCAGCTGCAGCAGCTGGCACCTCGAGACGCACTTGGGAGCAAGCGGCGGTGATTGTGCCACATCAGGAGCCGAGGAACCCATCGGTCTGGCCAGACCACCATCAGTGTGGCCTCCAAACCATCGGGGTGGCCAGAATACCATTAGTGTGGCCAAAAAACCATCGGGTGGCCAGCAGCCCATCGGTGGGGCCAGAACAACGATCGATGGGGCCTGAAAACAACCATCAGTGTGGCCTCCAAATCATCGGTGTGACCAGACCACCGTCGATGGGGCCTCCAAACCATCGGTGTGACCAGACCACCATCGGTGTGGCCAGAACAACCATCGATGGGGCCTGATAACCCATCGGTCTGGCCAGAAACCCATCGGAGTGGCCACCAACCCATCGGTGTGGCCAGAACAACCATCGATGGGGCCTGAAACCCATCGATGGGGCCTGAAACCCATCGGAGTGGCCACCAACCCATCGGTGTGGCCAGAACAACCATCGATGGGGCCTGAAACCCATCGGAGTGGCCACCAACCCATCGGTGTGGCCAGAACCATCGATGGGGCCTGAAACCCATCGGGGTGGCCAGAAACCCATCGGAGTGGCCACCAACCCATCGGTGTGGCCAGAACCATCGATGGGGCCTGAAACCCATCGGAGTGGCCACCAACCCATCGGTGTTGCCAGAACAACCATCGATGGGGCCTGAAACCCATGGGTGTGGGTTGAGCAAGCGTGGTGTGTTTGTCGGTCTCTATCGCTGACGCCCAGCGCCAACGCAAACCTCCCATCGCGCCGTGATCCGTCAACCCCACCGCCCCGCACGCATCCCGTGGCTTACCGAGCAGGAGCAGGCGGTGCCTCTGCTTGTACTCCCTCTTCTCCGCCTTGAGCTTCTTGTCGATGATGTTGCTTCGCTTCTTGTTCGTCTTGCGCCGCGCCTTCTCGTCCTCACGCTTCCACTGCATCCTCACCTCCCTCTCGCGGTCCGCCTCTCGCTGCTGCTGCTGCTGGTCTCGTTCTACGTCTCCCCGTTGGTTCTGTTGCTGTTGTTGTTGCTGTTGTTGTTGCTGCTGTTGTTGTTGTTGCTGTTGTTGTTGCTGTTGTTGTTGCTGCTGCGTTGTCTCGTAGGCGAGTGGAACATCTGGGCCGAGGAGCCGAGCGCGTAGGCTGTAGCAAGCCCCCATTGTGGCTGCCGGCCACTAACAACAATCGGCTCGCCTGAATTGCGCTCCCTTTCGTTCTACTGCGGACGATGTTATTGCTGCTGCTGCTGATGATGGTAGTGATGGTGATGGTAGTGATGGTGATGGTAGTGATGGTGATGATGGTAGTGATGGTGATGATCGTCTTGCTGCTGATGATGACGAGGAGTGTCGCCGATAACAGCCCTAAATCATCCAATTAGGAGGCCGCTTGGTTTGTCACAATCGCGAAAATACGGAAAATGACTTCCACCCAAGACGACTCCTGGCTGTCTGCAGCATCCAATCTCAACTCCCCCCCCCCCGACCCTGCCCCAACAACAAAAATTATCGTCACCCAAATGTCAAAAAATAAACCCCCCCGTTCACCCGTCCTTCCCCAACCCACACCCCTCCCTATAACTGAACGAAAAATATCGAATGAAACCGCCCACTCGTGTGTTATAAGCCCCGTTCACGATATTCTTCATCGGCTCGCCAAAATCCCACCGAGAGAGAGAGAGAACGAGGAGAGAGAGAGAGAGAGTACAATCCTCCGTTTACGTACACGGACCACGTTTGACGGCTAAACTTTGAGCGGCCATGAAGGTGCTTGAGAGATGGGTGGCTGGTTGTGTGTGTAGCGGCGTATGGGGCTGCTGCTGCTACTGACGTGATTCTGTGGCTCATGTGATCTCCGCTCCTGCCTCCTCCTCCTCGAGACTGGCCCCTTGTACCGTATCACTGCGAGTAGCTGCACACAATGCACACTCGTACATCCGCTTGCCAGCTCATGCAGATGTATTTTTTTTGTTTCGTTGTTGTGTTCGTCTGTCAATCTCATATGGGTTGGTATCTATTTATCCATCCCTCCGTTATTCGTTTATCTGTTGATTTATTTATTCATTGATTCAGCCTTCTATCCAATCATACATTCAACCGTCTATCCACCCACCGATATAACCAAACATAAACCCATTCACCTACCCATGAATTGGTCAACCGAACCATCCACCCGCCGATCCACTCACCCATCCATTCACCTATCCATCCACCCATATATACATCCACCCGTTCATCCCAAATCCACCCACTTACTTATCAATCCATACGTCCACCCATCAATTCACCTACTCACCCATCCATCCACCAATGTATGTATCCACCCATGTGTCCATCCATCCATGGATCCACTGACTGAACCACCCATCCATCTACCCATCCATTTGTCTAACAAGACAATCCCTCGGCCACAATTTGTATATCTGCCTTTACGAATGTGTTTGTGCATTTGGAGATCTATTTGTCTGTGTTTGTCTAAGTGTCTACAGGGCCCTGTCTCTCTGTATGGTGTACACATATCAGTACTCTCAGAACTTATTTGGCTCTTCATTTCTCTGTCTCTCTATGCATCTGTGTATGTCCCTCCATGTCTGTCTGTCTCCATGTCTCAGCGTCTGCCTCAGCCGTGTCCCTATCCCTATCTCTCAGTGTCTCCGTCTTCATGACTCAACAACCCTCTCTCACCACTTTCACGTTGTCCCTCTTATCTCAAAATTCAGACATGGCACACGCGGCATGACACGCCGGAATGCACAAGTGGAATTATTTGACAACGAAAGTCACAGGGTCCAACGAGGAACGCATCTGTGTGACGGGTCAGCCATCGACCCTGCCAAATGACAAAAATACACACACTGTACCGTAATAATAACATAACGTAGACTGGGTATCCACTGTCCAGTAGATGGGGGTCTTGTAGCAATAGCAAAACGTCGGTTATCTTTACCATCGTGATGCTCCGATATTTAGCCGTCTTGACTAATGTACATCTCTTCCGATTAGAAAAATCATAATATTTATGTATACTGGAGGAATTCGATGAGCTATTAAGATATTTTTTTAACATAATGCCATCATTGCAGGGTTAGAAACATCATCAGCAGGCAGTGATCTCATCCCCAATCCGTAGTCAGAGTACCTGTAGTTACTTATGAATAATTATTCATGGTCAATTTATGTTGTCATGGTCTGTTGTTGTTGTTGTGAATTTCTGGAAATAGGTTACAAAACGTGTACACCGTTTAGGATGTAACTTTTTTTAATATCAACAATTCCGAATGACGTGAGAATCTCTCCAAGGGTCAATAATCGTTACGCAAAATTAGTCTCAGAAACACTAAATAGTCGTATGTACATTATTGTTTGTCAATAATCTGCTGGATGAATGCCTCCCCAGGCCGTGTATGTGATGGGGATTGTTTGACCATACTTCACCGCACTGATCGAGGAGGTGTAGGGAGACTCGAGGGGGTCGGAGTGGTGTCGGGGGGCAATCGCCACTTAAGTTAGCCACGGCCTGATGTCCAACCGAGGCACGGACAACGCCTCATCCCTTCCATTCGTATGGGGTTTAGCGTTGCCCCCTCGCTCGCGTGGGTTTCCTACCACATATATGAACACTCAGTGATCGGCTTAAATCATGAGATGCCGTTTTGCGTGAAGGGCGACGCTCATCGAAACCAAACATTATATTTTTACCTTTTGTATGCCGCTTTGCGCCGTGGTATTTTCAAATGCGGAGCCGCAATTGGTTAAATGCCAACCTAAATTCGCTCATGACCAAATTATTTTTACTTTCTTTTGTTGGGCTATTCTCAGTCAACAAATGATTGAGAATGGCTCAACGTGGGGTGAACACCCGGGACCAGTCCTTCTCGTATCACTCGCCCCACTGATGTTCACCGTGGCCAGGAATCGAACTCAGGTGGACCGAGTTAAACGTTTGCTAGTGTAGAAAACACGTAGACTCTCGCAACCAATTTTATCCATAATACAGGTTTTTTTTGGGTTAGATCGCGTAAATATAAATGTGTCATTGAGCCCGCCACCACCCGACACAGCTAATTGTTAAGGCTTGTCACGTTAACAGAACATATTAATATGTTACTAGTACATCACACCGGTGTGTTGGAGAGCAAAGCCACAACATTTACAATCTGAGTTCGACGTTTCGCCAGTAATTACAACTAGCTTCATCAAACGACAGCTAGATTTGTGGAGAAATACTCTATTTAAGGAACGAAACAGGAGGATTTATCCAAAAATCTGTTGCCTGATGACGCTAGTTGTAATTACTGGCGAAACATCGTACTCAGATAGTAAATGTTGATGCTTTGTTCACCAACACACCGGTGTGATGTACTAGTGACGAATTAATATGTTCTGTTTACGTGACAACCCTAGCTAATTGGCTGTGTTGGGTGGTGGCGGGTTTAGCGACACATTTAAGTTTAGGCGATCTAGCCCAAAAAAAAACCCTGTAACATGGTCGATTGAAGGTCGTTTGCTAATCGGTGTCTGCAATGTTACTACTTTATTCGCCGCTATAACTTTCTCCAACTTTCGCCAATGTCTATAAGCGTGTCGGTGTTGTAAAACGTCTGACGCCTCAATCAAATAAAATCAAATAAAATCAAACCTCCATCCCACGGACGTCGTCGCTGATTCTTCAGCGCGCCCTCTGCTGTGAAGTCGACGAATCACTCTAAAAAAGGGCCCCATTATAATAAGATTCACATGGTTTTTGGGGTTGGGGGGGGGGGTAGGTGGGGGGCGCCGATGGCGGGCTATGTACACACGTACAAAAAAAACCCAACAAGGAAAAGTTTTAGTGTATGATGAAAATAAGAACAGGCTTCACCTATTCAAGAATACAGGAGGTGTTACATTGTTCAAGTACCAAATGGACACCCATCACGAGGCATCAAATCTACATTGGTTCAGCTGCCGCAACTCCAGTGTGTTGCTAAAACTATGAATTTTTTGTTACCTTACCAGGTAAGGCCCACTGAGCTATGTGGCTCTTTTTCAGAAGTTACCTGGCCACAATTGACAGCTCAACACAGTGGCTCATCACGTGGACATTGGTAGCAGCCAAGTACTCTAAATGCGCGTTGATTCTAAACGTGTTAGGTGTGTAGGTGTGTACGCGGCCAGTGTTTGTCCAACTTTATTGACACCGCGAACAGGATGATAGGTTTGGGGGCCCCAGTGCCTCTCTTACTTTGTAGGTGCGTCTCGCAATCGGGAGGACACCGAGCAAGGCACAATCCCAACTACGATCCGGCTCTGCTGCGGGCATCGCCATCTCCTCATCCTCAACCTCATCATCCTTCTCCTCCTCCCCACCCACCCACCCACGATGCACACGGCAGGATTTCCCGTGCGTTGGGCTATCTGACAGCAACAGCCATCACGGGGAGAAGGCGGCGCGGCGGGGAGTAGACGCGGCCAGAGACGTCGTATTTATAGATCGGCGCGCTTCCGCCATCTGCCTCTGTAGCGGCCCCTTTCAGTTGAATATTTATATATCATTACTTTACTTTGGGGGAGGGAGGTTATGAGTGACTCAGAATTGTGCGCAGTTGCGTATACAGTCCACACGACTTCCCCGAAGGCACATTCACCTTCAGCGAGCGCGATGCCGATCACACGACGCGTTTCGAATTCGACCCTCGATCGACGGCTGCGTCATCGCCGCACACGCGTCGAATAAAAAGCAAGTCCTTACTCACTAACAACTCCTCTATCATTTTTCTTCTTGGTTCTTTCGGTAAAGTCACGTAGAAGGGAAATAATAAAATAATAAAAATACGACGTAATAAAATAATTCTCACGACGTTTCGGCCACAACGCAAGCAGCCGTCCTCATGTGAAGACCAGGTCTGTCGGGGAGACAGCGTCTGAATGAAACACCACCACGCTTGGAGTGTATATTTAAGCTTGGTTGGAAGGGGAAGAAGATGAATCCCTGCAGTCACCAAAGCTTTAAATCTAAATTCCTCTATCATTGTTCATTGCTGGAGGGGTTGCCACCCCTACCTGAAAATCCTGGCTCCGCCAGTGACTGTGGTCATCCAGAACCCACCGTACAACAACGCAACGCCCGATCCACAAATACGAAGGAGACACCGCAGCTACCGACGCAGCTTGACCACCTGAATGTGACATTGTACGTTGCTGCTCTCCATCCTCACGAGCCATGCCAGAGAAGAAGGCAGGGCCATGGGCTGCATTGTCCTCGTGGGTTTACCGGAATGCTCCGTGGAGGACGATGTCACGGAACGATACTCGCGAGATGCATTTGATGTCGAGTCAAGGTGGTGTCTCACCCACAGTGTCAACGCACTCTTTTCCTGCCGTGGATGGAGATGTTTATCATTGGAGAGTGAATCTCTCTGACGTCGAGATGTTAACTACCTCTCCAGGTATACAGGCGTTCGTGGGTTCCATCCCGACCCTGACAGCTGCTGTATATTTGAAGTTTGCGTGTCTCTCTCCCCGTGGTCGCGTGGTTTTTCCTCCGGGTCCTCCGGGTTTTCCCTCCACGTTTAGAATCAGCGTCACGCGTGGAGAGTATTTGGCTGCTATACATTTCCACACGATAAGCCACTTCGTTGAGAAGGTATTTGTGGCCAGGTCGCTTCTGAAAAAGAGTACTGTATGATGGTATAGAATCTGATTTCATTGCTTAACTTCTCATAGCTGGAGTTTTGCCGAATTAATGGAACAAAAAAACACATTCAACGTGACGGGGATAAAACCTTTATCTTCGCTATTCAGAAGTGGAGAGCCCACTTTGACCACGAGTCGCCCAAAATCCCA